CGCTTTGCTAGGAAGTATAACAGCACCCCAAACGTGTTCGTATCGGCGAACCATTCATCTAGCGGTGGAAATCAACAACCAGTACACAATGGAATAACTGCTTGGGTGGAGGTAGAATGGAAGCTCTATATTTACACTCCGCTGTTTAAGTTAAAAGTTTTATAGCAAAATTAGAGTGCAATTTAACAATGAAAAATCCGGGGGGGGGTTTCAAATTTTTGAAATGACCATTCACTCTGAGGGGCTAAAAACTTTCGGGAGCTGTTCATTCACCCTCTGCGAAATCATAATATGTCAATTGTGTGTCTATTATTTTTGACGTTGCCATGGCAACCGCAAATTTCACATAGGTTTGGCCAAAACTCAACTTTTTTGACATAATTCTGTATTTATCCCCAGTTCCATTCATCAAATTGCAGAAATTCACCAATTTATACATTTCATAAGCATTATGGCTTCAACGTGTATTAATTTCCGTTATTTCTTTAGCTTTAAAAACACAGTGAAATCCAAGATGGTGGATCTAAGTTGGAGTGTCAAGTGACGTCATACCCAACAAAATTGTACCATAGCTCAGGGCTATCTAATCAATGTAAATTTAATTCCCTATGAAAACCTAGGGGAGTGGTTCCATCAACCCCCCCCCCCCCCCCCCCCCCCAACTTAAAAAAAAGGTCCATCCCTTACTTGTAATGGACTTATATACCAACAAAGCGGGAGGCAGTGGTGTAGGTTATGGGTCTGGTGGCACTACATGTAGACGTTGAGAACTACATCTATGTGCTGGCTTTGGACCGGCTGAATTTTTGACTTTGTATAGAGTACCAGTGCAAGCTTATTGTGGTTAATTGTGATGTCATGTTCTCTTGAAGGTCCCAGATCTCTGACACTAGTCTTTGTAGAAACCAAGAAAGGGGCTGATTCATTGGAGGATTACTTGTACCGTGAAGGCTATGATGCAACCTCTATTCATGGCGATCGCTCTCAGCGTGAGAGAGAGGCAGCTCTGCAGTCATTCAAGTCTGGCCGCACACCAATTTTGGTGGCCACAGCTGTAAGTAAATCAGGTGGCTCAGTAATTGTGATAATCTCTGGTGTCTTTTAATCTTCATTCAGGAGTATACAAAGTGTCATAAATTCACTTGCATGTCCTTACCAATTATCAATTGTGTATTTGAATCATCATATTCTCACTCGGCAATCCCTTAAAACTGTATAATGTAGTTTTTAATTAATGTACATGTAATGTTTGCATTTAGATTGATATACTGTTTTACTTACTGAAGATTTTAACTAAGTTTTTTACATGAAATGATCGATTGATTCATCAATCAATCAATCTAAGGGTACATTACAAACTCACAATGTGACCAGCTCTCAGTTGGCTTGATAGCGTAATTGGAAGAAACCGCACTGGAGTCATAAAGGTCTTGAGTTTAAATCTGGTTCAAACCTGAATATTTTTCAGGCCTTAGTTTTGCAAATGTTTAAGTTCTCTGCAGATCTCTCGTATCTATAAATGAATTTTATTGACTGTTGAAGCTATTCCTGAGTGTGTTTTAAATACCTTGGAAGAAAACTCGAGTGAGTCCTATATTTTCTTCTCTGCGACCACATGAACTGAGCTACAATAATTTTTTTCTTGATAGGTTGCTGCTCGTGGCTTGGACATTCCCAATGTACGCCACGTAGTAAACTTTGACATGCCAACTGACATTGAGGAGTATGTTCACCGCATTGGCCGTACAGGACGTGTAGGACATACTGGTAAAGCAACACAAGTTTCTCAAGTCATTCACTTTTTTCAACAACTTCTGTTTGGAATTCATTAGTAACTAACCTGATTGTATTAAATGTTGTTAGGTCTTGCCACATCATTTTTCAATGACAAGAACCGCAATGTAGCCAAGGACCTTGTTGAGCTGTTGAATGATACTAAGCAGGAAGTCCCAGGCTGGCTGGAATCCATTGCTTATGAGAGTAGTCAGAACTCAGGCAGGAACCGTGGAAGGAGGTTTGATATTACTTGATTTATCCTCAGGTCTCTATCAGTAGAAGTGGGTTGGCTTCATGGTTAGTGCGCTCGACTCCAGATCAAGCAGTCCAAGTTTGAGCCCTGGCTAGGACATTATGTTGTGTTCTTGGGCAAGACACTTAACTCTCACAGTCTCTCTCTCCACCCAGCACAAATGGGTACGACGAATTTAATGCTGGGATAACCCTGTGATGGAGTAGCATCCCATCCAGGCGGGAGTAGAAATATTCCTAATTGCTTCATGCTACAGAAATCAGGATAAGCTCTGGCCTGATGGGCCCCTTGGCTCATATGCAGCCTTAACCTTTTTTCTCTGTTATTTCGCTATTGCTTTGTCCAATATTGACAGAAAATCATCATTATTTTTCCAGCAGGCAATCAGCTGGTGGCTTTGGGTCACGGGACTACAGGCAGCACCATCACCACCATGGGGGTGGGGGTGGTGGGCCCCACTATGGAGGGTACGGTGGAGCTGCATATTGGAATCATAACCGCTATGCTGGAGGCGCTGGAGCACAGGATTGGTGGAACTAGTGCTGTGATGCTACCACCAAAAGTTGTTACATCATGTTTTCTTTGTTTGGTTAATGTTACAGGTGTTAACCACTTTTATTCTCTTTGATGAAATAAGTTAAATTTGGGACTGTTGCATTGGCAATATCTGGCATCAAATATGGCATCTTCAAATTGATTGGTGAAGTGTTGTGGAAAAGCGTGTACAAAGGTTTTCCATAGCGGCAGCTTATTCAGTGGATGGACACAGCTTGTGGTCAGATAAAGTATAAAGACCACTTGTGGTTTTCACAAATGTCAGGCTGTAAGGGTGACACATGCAGGAACCACATACTTCAGTGTCAAACTCTCTGTTCGTGATTTCTCTGGAAATCCTCAAGGAACACAACAAAATTCAGTTGGCTTGTTCAGTTCTCGTTCAAACTGCTGCTTATTAGACAGTGCCACAGCAATCTTCTGCTGTCGTTGTTTTCAAGTTCAGTCAAAAAATGTCTGGTTGATATTTTTTTCATGCAAAGTTCATTTGGTACACAATGAATTGGGCAACTGTGGATCAAGATACACTGACTATTTAATATCTTTGGCGACATTATTTTGAAAGTAAGTGTTGTTAAAAGGGTTACATTATCTGTGTTGACACAGATACATGTGGTCATTATCTCATTGTAGTTGATACTTAAACAAGTTATTTTCTTTGGGACTTTTATGGACATTGGAAAGGGGCTCATTTTGTGAGAGGTCCCGTATTTATATTTTGAATTCGGTCCTTGCATGGAAAGTCCATTTTGAGATGGGCTTCTTTCCTTAGCTTTTGTACTAATTTTGCCCCCAGTTACAGATTATTTCTCAGTTCTACAACTTTTGGGAATTTTCCTCAAAAAGCCTATTTGTGACAAACGTTACTTTTATGCAGTCCTAGGAAAAGAGTCACTGTGTTGGGCAAGAGCTCAAACGTCTTGTTTTTCGGAGCTTCTCCTTATTGCATTAGCAGTTACAAACAACATGTAGTTAAGCACAAAGTTAATTACTCTCTGTAAGCACAGAGATTATGTTTTGAAAATTTAAGAAATTTTCAACCAGCTGTTTAGGTCAGAAAAATTCCTAGCGAGCCAACCAAGTGGATAAGAACTTGGGAGATTTCTGAACAAGCAGTTTATTGCAATTACAAAATATGAAAAATCCAGTGGATGAATGTGGACTCACTACACAACACATCTTAGTTAGGTCAACTTGTTTTATTATAGATACTGACTCTATGGGCAAAATTGTGAAAGAATTTTGTCTTAACATGTCTTAAGAGCAGAACAGAAGACAGAGTTTTCCTGCTGTTATTTAGTGTCAATCCTTGATGAAAACGTTTCATTCATCTCGGTTCTACAGATAGATAGTACCCTAGTTCAAAATAGTTCGTCTGAAAAGTATTTATCATAGAACATGGCCCTTGAGACATTAGACGGAATATAGATATTATTATATAGAAGTATACAATGTCTTTTGATTAAGACTGCCACTAAGAAACACAAATAGATATTCGAGAAGTGAGATTTAAGCACAAGGGATAAATGTATTAGCTTTGTGCTTTAGCAGGATACTGTTCATTGTGCAAAGGGATTTTTAGTGCCTCTTGTATTCTGAGTTTAAGCAGGAAAACTCAGGTTTTAGTTTCATGTGTGTATAAGGGTCATAGTAGGCAGATTTTGTAGTCATTGTAACAAGATAACGTTATTTTGTAACGGATGACGTCCACTATAAGATTATTTTGTAATATTGCAGATCGCTCTGCTTTAGACTAAGAAAAGTTGTGTCGCCAAAGTATTTATGGATTTAAACTAAAGTACCAGAAGAAAAAATGTTCCCGTTTTCGAAAATCAGAAAGGTTTTAAACAAATAGTTTCAAAGAATATTTTATTTACAAATTCTTGCATGAAATTAAGAAAACAGTAATAATTTATGACGCCTTTTTTTGCCTTCGTCTGAAAAGGGCCAAGAAAGTGAAGAATTTCACTTTTTCATGCAGTTAAATTGAAAAGCATTTGTATCAACAAGGATAAAGCAAGCATCAAAAAGACACTGTAATTATATTGCATTTAATGAAAGTACAATGTAAATTAAAAATAAGGCGTCAAGACTAGTGCTCAAGAACATTCATTATTTTTAAGACCATTATGCATTAAGCCGGAATTATTGATGCTTGTGAATTTGTTCCTACATAACCTTTAAGATGTTTTTCTTTTCAGATGTTTAATTTTTGTTGAGTTACAAAGAAATTGAAAATGTGGGAAATGAAAATCAAGGTTTCCATGTTCAGTTGGTTATCCTTCTTAAAGTTAAATTAGAATACACTTAAAAAAAACCTTTCTAACTACAAAGTGCTCTAACTGAACGGAAAATTCTTAGTTTACTGTTAATGATCTCTAGAGTATTTATATTGGTCAGAAAACGGGAAAAGTTAAGCAGAGAAAAAGTCACTGTACCCGGGTGGGATCAACAAGGTAGCCTTTCGAAAATCAGAAACTACAACTGATATTCTGCAAATGTCAGGGATTTAGATGCTAAGAATTTAACTAAGTATAACTTGTGGTAAAAGCCAAATTTTGTTCCAAAGCCACTTATGCCTTGCACCCTATACATCTGTCCAAGGTAAAGCCGTGACACACATGACGTAATATACTCGAGGTACGACACACGAGAGATTTTGTGACGAGTCACGGAAGTCACGCCAACGTGTTACCATATAGCATGAAGTTGAAGATTGCTTTGGGAGAAAGTTTGGCCTCTATCAGGGTACTTTTGCTTACAAATCTATAAATTGTGTTCAGAGGTAGCACGATACCTGATAGCGTTCTATCAACACAGTTGCTGTAGCCTTCATATTTCAGTTTAAGTATATTCTGTTTATGCAGGTTGTTTTTTGGGGGAAGAGTTCACTGCCAAGGCAGTCAGGTTATTTGTATTTGATGTCAGAAGCCAATAAATTATTACCATTATAGTGATAATTATGTTTCCCGTACTTGTGTTACGTCGGTTATCGTATTCATTACTCAACTCGATAGAAACACGGGGAACATGTTCTCTATTTCATTTAGAAAATTCTGAAACGAAAAAAAAAAAAAAAAGAAAATGTGTTTACTTTGATCAACAAAACGGGAATTCACTTTTCTTGAGCTATCATTACGTTAACAGCGCGTGCTAGTTCTGTGTTTCTATCGAGTTTTATTATAAAACTCCCATATAACAGGGATGGCGGTGCTCATCGTACCTCTTAGGGTTTAAAAAAGCGGTTTTGTACCTGTTAGGGTGTCCAGCCTAAAAAGGTCCACTGCGGAAGCTTTTACGGTACCGTTAAGGGTATTGAGCCCAAAAAAAATGACGATAGATGATGTTTGTTTTAGAATTGGTACCTCTTGGAGATGAAAAAAAAATTCAAGCCACGCCCACAAAGCAGGATCTTGGTACCTCTTCGGGTTTTTTTTTTTTTTTTTCAAAATTTCCGACGAGTACCCCAGTCCTCCGCTGACATTCACTGTTGCTTTGAGAGGCCCTCTCTGTTGGGTGACCTAAATTGTAATTTATTACCAGACATCGTCGATAATAACTCTTCCCACCTTGAATATTATGGATATTTATGGTCTGACTCAACTGATCACTGAACCTACTCGAAATACGAGTCCGAGAATGAGATTGCCGCGAAAATTATTACTGCGCAACTCAAGGGTCGAGACATTTTAATTGGCTTATCGCAGTTTGCAGATCTTTGACTTGGGTTTTAAAATAAAATCACGTTTTTGTGGATAACTCGTTCGCGTTTTAAGTTTTCAAATTAATTTTTCATAGAAAATTCAGATAAAGTAAAAGTCTTGAATTTGCTGTGAAAAACATTTTTTGGACAAAAATCAGCCCTTGAAGGTCTAAAGTAACCTTTCAAAAACAACTATCGGCCTACATCTGTTATACCTGCTGTGGCCAAAATCTTTGAAAACTTTGGCATATTGTACAACATGAATTGGATTGGATTTGTAAAACATGGCCGAGGTTTGCTCAACTCTTTAATTTTTTTCTTTTTTGTTCGTCCATCATAATTAAAAATTTACGTTTCACGGAACCGGAGCAAAGTCCAGAGATCATAGCAGGATGTTCTGCGCGCCAGTTAAAACGCACTTGTTGTTGACCTTTGACCGAACTAATTTTGCAGACTTTAATTTCGAGGGAAAGTTACGGCACTGCGCACAAATGTTCTACGTTCCCAGGTGTTCAAAAGAAGCAGGTATGCTAAGTTTCCATTGAGTGTGGTTAGCTCGAGTCCTCGCAACTAACTTGTCTAACTATCCGAGATGTGAAAGACAAGCCAGCTAATGGCTTTAAAGTTTTCAGAATGTGTCCTAATTGCTGAAAGGTAACTTCTGAAACAAACCACACAACTGACTGTTTATGAAGCTTCGTAGCAGGGGTAAACTGTAGGAAAGGTGAAGAAAGAGCGAGGATAAGGTGAGGGGCGTTTTTCGCCTCCCCCCTCTCCCCCCCCCCACCTCCCTCCCCTACCACTTCCCCGTTTACGCCCGCAACGCACGCTGGATTGCTTTTACTATCGTCACTCTTTCATGACCAGATCTCCGGCAGAGGTGTAATAGAGGGGTTTAAGGGGAAGTGGGTGAGAGTTCCATGGGGGTTGGAGTGATCAAGTTCGCAATTAAAGCGTGCATGGGTGTGAAATGTGGATGATATGGTGGAGCAAGGCGTTACAAAAACATAGGGAGGGGAGGGTCGTTAGAAAAAGGAGAAGACTGGCAGAGGGGGAAACTGAGTGGAAAGTGTAAAAGGAGGAGTTGACGATGGAGGATATAACAATAAATCGAAGCTCCGGTAAGAGTATAAAGAAGAAAGCAAGCGCAGTAATTGAAAGGTAAATGTTGAAATAGAAGATAAGCCGAAAAAAACGAATTATATGATGGTTTGCATGTAAAAAGAGAAATTTTAACACTTGCTTAATCAAATGTCATTAAAGTTTTTCGAGCCAAGGACTTCCCTTTTGATTAGAAAATGAACGTCCGACCAGTGCGCTTAGATTGCAACAGAAAATTTGGCCGAGTGACGCATTGTAAGATAAAGATAAGATAAGAACTTTATTAATGTGTCGAAGTCGCTAGCATACAATGTATACTAATTGGGGACACCTAACTACGATTACTTATCTAATAATTAATAAAATATGAAATACGTGTACGTATGTAAGTGTTTTAAAACATATATATAAAACAAACAATGAGTCATGCGGTAAGATCAAGTGTTAGTTGTTACATAAAGAACAGTCTTTACAAGTACTGTCCAGCAGGCTTGTGAAATCAACCAATTTGATGCGCTTTTTAAAAGTGTGCAATGATTCAGATTCGGTGATGATTGAAGTCGACAAAAATGATCTACACTTCGGAATGATACAAGTTCGTTCTGAGCCGCGCGGAATTCTCAGCGATATGCTAACAGATCGTAGCAGAAATAATGGAGATGCGAAAACCCTGAAAGCCTAAATAAGCGATAAGAGAACTATAAAAAATACTGAAAATGGTATAGGTAACAACTGGCTTGGGTTTGTTAGAAATCAAGTTGTGTTGGTCATTGACTTTTGTATCATTTGGTGGCTCCTAAAGGAGCCGTTTGTTTTGGCGCGAAACCCACAAAGTGAGTTTACTTGCTGCTGGTGTATTTGGTCACAGCCTTGGTTCCTTCACTCACGGCGTGTTT